TTTTTTTTTTTTTTTAAATTACTTATTCATTGATTTGGTACTAACCTATCCTCTTTATCATCCTTTAGGGTCTGATTTTTAGGTTCAAGTTCCTCATGCTGGTCACTCTGACCTGCGCTGCCATGACTGTCATCTTCTTCATCATCAGTCAGGTGAGTGCCATAATGTTATGAAAACAGAAGTAATGCCCTTCATAATAAGGACTACTGGGACAAATTTTTTATTTCAGTGATTATAAAAATATGTATTTTTCTTTTGTCTGTGTCCAGGTTAATGAAGGCCACTGGCACTGGGGAGAGCACACAGTGCAGGTAAACAGCGCCTTCTTCACCGGCATCTACGGCATGTGGAACCTCTACGTCTTCGCCATCATGTTCCTCTACGCACCTTCTCACAAACGCTATGGAGACGAACAGTCAAGTGGTCAGTGCATCACCGGTAACTACATATTTCTACAAGCTTTCTAGTTTGTCTATTGATTTATAGTGGGTTAGGATGAAATTTAAAATGTTCAGCCATTGTAGCAGTTACACACGGTTATAAGCTATACACAGAATTGATAGATGATAGAACGATATAGCTAAATGTTTTTGCAACAGGCTCAATAGTACTATAATTCTATTAATAATTTAATAATTATTAGTCAGTTGTAAGTGTTACATAAATAAGCCTTCTTATTGTATTACAGTTACTGGTTAAATTTCATACGTGTCCCAGGAGCTCTCACTTCATTCTGATGGGGAGTAAGTGTCTGTAAAGCTGCCTATTCATCCAAAGTTTGTTTTGGGGGGAAGGGGGAGGTGGTGGGTGATTCAGGAGGACCCAGATTCCCAGGGGAAAGAAGGGTCTCTTTGGCCCGAGAGGGTGATTCTAATGGACACCAGGCTTCCTTCCAGACAGAAAGGAAGGGAACAGTGAAGAGGGGGTGGGGGAGGCGGGGTGGAGAGCAGGGAAGTAATGAAAACCATCCATCCATCTCCTGACGTCAGTGACACTGGGAGAGAAAAAGAGGGTTTGAAGTTCTGGAAGCTTTCCCTGAAGTGCGTCAACCAGTCTCATGGGAGGGGCGCCTCTCTCCAAGTTTCAGTCTGCGTGTTGATTTACTTTATCAGTTTCACTTCTGTTTCAAATGAGCTGAAAGTATTTATGTGACTGAAATTCAGCTGAACCAACTTGATGCGTAACGGATCATTGCCTGCAGTAATACGAAGGAATGTGCACAACAAAACGCTCGTAACATGTTTTTGTATTCACTTTGTATTACTGGTAGTTTTGGTGTTGATGATGTGTGATGTTTGTGTGTGTGCAGGAGATGCTGGAGGAAACAGTGGAGAGGACATCCAGCTGACTACTACCATCACCCACGTTGATGGCCCCTCTGAGATCTACAAGATGACTGGCAAAGAGGCCCAGGAGTAGATTTCACACTGTAAGACTTTAAGACTCCCCTCCACTACCTACTGCTCCAATGATCCCCTCCCTCGTATATGTAATCAAACAGGCTTTGCTCTTTACACCCCCTGGCCCTAAAACGGCATCAACAGTCCACCTTTGCATGTACCTACCAGTCCCACAGTTACTGCCCTCTTCCAGCACCAAACCCTCAGCTGTGTGACTTGTTACGTGCCTCCCTGCTCTCAATTGTATCTCTGAAGGCTAAATATTATCAACACTCCTTTTCATTTCATTGTGGAATTTTGTTCTTACATTTCATACTTTATGTAAACTATGTTGTGTTTGTAAATGTTGCACAACGCTTTTGAAAATCGAGTGTAAAGAAAACCATTTCTTGGTGGTAGAAAGTTGCATTTGGCAGCCGTCACACTCCTGTTTTAAAGCACAGTGTGGTGAAACTTAGTCTTTTGTAAGATGGTCAGCCACATTTCTGTTTTTTTTTTTTGTTTTTTTTTTCTACTTAAGTCAAGGCCTTAGAGTCTGTCACTCATACATATTGCTTCATAAAACGTAGATCATGTTGAGTACTGCTGTCAATCTTAGTTTTTCATGTGATGGAGATCTTTTTTATATCATTGGGGGAAATGTACAGGCCACATAGCCACTTTGGGAAATGCCTATTGTACGTTCATTATGTTACAATGTAGATATCTATTTTTTATAAAGTGCTTATTTTCAACTTCACAAAATATATGCATCAAGCTCTATCAATGTTTTTGAAGTTGACTGTAACCCATTATACATGGTTCTTAGTTTGTTTTTGGTTTTTGGTTTTTATGCTAATTTAAATAAAAAAAACCTTTTTACTTAATACCTTTTGTGTATTGTCATAGTGTTTCTGTGAATGATGGAGTCATGTACTATATGCCCGAACATGAACATGTACTCATGTAGGGAGAGGGCGCCTCTGCAAGGCTCATAGCAGAACAACAGGCTTTCACTTTCTAATCAGTCAAGCTTGCCAGAGAGCGAGTGTGGAACAGGAAGTCGTTATTTTAGTTTTTAAGTACTTTCAGAGTGAGAATTATTTGGGAGACAAACTTGACTTTCTTTTGCATTTATAGTACTTCATCAAAAGGTATTAAAGTATTAATAAAGCAAATACAGCTTTTCATATAATATTACTAGTATCATCTGTGGGGGGGCTTTGCATTTACTGCACTACATTTCAGAGGAAATGCTAATAACCCCACTGCATACATCTAACGATGCACAATAATTATCAGGGCAGATACATTATCAGCCAATAAACTAACAGTCCATAATAATAATGATAATACAATTTTAATTTGAAGTTTTTTGATGAACTTTACAAAAAAAGAGAAATGAACAAACTCAGAACTGTTGTTGTGTTAACAATAGTGATGTCAAGTTAGATTTAGTTAAAGCAGAGCTGTGGAATATTAAATCATCCATTTTTGCAACCTTTCTTACCCTCCTGTGTGCATAAACTACAGGTTATAAACTTCTTTTTAAAATGCAAAAATTATCGGTTATGTATTTGGTATCGGCCATTACAAGCAGGTAATTATCGGTTATTGT